CTTCTTCTTCTTCTTCTTCTTCTTCTTCTTCTTCTTCTTCTTCTTCTTCTTCTCCTTCCTTCTTCTTCTTCCTTCTTCTTCTTCTTCCTTCTTCTTCTTCTTCCTTCTTCTCCTTCTCCTTCTCCTTCTTATTCTTCTTCTTCTTTGACACAGCACTAAAACAGGTAAATATTCGCCACCTTTTAGGCCAATCATTACTCGCACAGACACTTCACCAGTATGTCCTCCATATTTCACCAGACGTTTATTTGTACAGTCTAATCAATGACTTTTGAACTATTCTTCCACAGGCAGGCCTGACCCTCACTTTGCTGTCCGGAACTCTCCAGAATGGGGACACCCGCCACCAGACCCAAACCTCCTGTCCCCGTGGACAGTGGGTGGGCCTGGTTTGTGATGTTCGGTGCGTTCCTCAACCAGGTGGCTCTTGTGATGTTCGCACGGGCACAGGCGTTGCTGTTCATAGAGTTCTTACGAGTATACGAGGCCTCTGCCACTGCCACAACGCTTGCCTTCGGAATGGTGCCCGCCTGGTTTGCCGTCGCCAACATCAGCGTTTCGTCGTTTTTCATGAAGAGGTAGAGTTATTGAAGCATTATAATATGCTTGAATTATGTTAGATCAGACACTGTTATAACCGTCGCTCTTTGCTCTTAATTAAAGAAAGAATTTTCGCTGAGCTCGTGCTCATCATTAAAACGTCCTCCCAAATGTAGGGCAAATACCAGTCTCGCTCTAGATTTTGTCCTCAATTTGATTCCAAAAAGGTCTACAGACCCTTTTTACCTCTAGTACGAGAAAGAATCAATATTTCCCAATTTACTAGTTGGGTGTCTTGCTCAACCGTCGACAATTTAGATCATTAAAGAAGCGGGCTTCTACTAAGCATATCGGGGCCAACTCGGGCTGAAAGGACTACATGTACAATGTCTCAGTCAAAAGACCAAGATATTCAATAAAATTTTCCGGGCAAGTGAATCGAATTCAGGTCAGCTCCGAGCAACGACTAGGCACGTAATGTTGAAATATATTTCTTGTTTTGCTCTTCTCTCGTTCAGCTTGCATTTCCAAGTCCTCTTTAAGCATCCAAGTTGTTCAATAATTCATGTACGGGATCCTCTTCCACGTAATGAGTCCGGTTACAGCTTTACTGTCTTACCTTTGGATGGAAACCGAGCATACCTTAAAGCCATCTGAATCATGTCCCCCC